CACAAAAGCCATGACTTGCAGCAATAGTCCATCTACAATATGAGACATTGAAATGTAGGCTTTAAGAGAACATGTTTTCAGTTGCATTTTATAGTCAAATCATTACAAAATGTCCACTCTCTGGTTGAGATGAAACTGATGACTTCCTGAAAGAATGTGAAAATTTTCCACATCCTTAATCCTGTCCCTGTAGCTCAGAATTTGCAGAAGACTAAAGCTGGCAGGAGCCATGGAAACATCTCACCTTCCCTTCATATTTCAGAGGCCTCCATCTGTTTACTTTTTCCACACCTCTAATTTTGACTATTGTAATTAGTATCTCCACATCTGCTTGTATCCCAGGACATCTCTCCTAGACACCTCCAGGAATGTCTTCTTAGTAAACAAACCAGGTCAATCCTCTTCTAAGGCTGAAACAAACCAAACCAAAGCAAAGAAAGACAAAACAGAACTTCTGACAACTCCTGATTCATATGGGGAAAACCGTCATTCCCAGCCTGGCACACAGATGCTTGACATACAACCCACATCTTGTTTCCTTTCCACCCCTTAACACTTTCCTCCTGACCATACAAACCTTAGTTCTAATTTCTTGTTCCTCATCAAGCACTGTTTAATCTTTCATGTATCTGAGTCTTAACATGCACTCTTTTTTCTGCCTGGATTATCCTTCCCTTTATATTGTATCTGGCAATAATGAAATGCATGAAAGAATGAGTCATAGAATAGGGTCTCAGAGAGCTTTCCCTCTTGGATTGACTTCAAGATTTCTCCGTATGCTTGTCAGGGGCTGACCACGCATCTTTCTGCAAATCACATACTGTGTATCTCTAGTTTTCCTGACTAGCTGTTTCATCAGTCCCTGCTGGGCCCTGAAGTAAATAAGTGTCACAGATCTTGGATGAAACATACAGATTAAAATATGTTCCACTTTTTGAATAGTGCAGCTTTGTTGAAGTCTCACTCTAACCAGCTAGATGAGACTGAGCAACTTGCTTAACAGTATCAACCTCCATTTTCTTGTCCATAAACTAGGAATATGACACCCTTCTCAAAGAACTGTGGTGAGGATTGATGTTTGTAAACACTCAGCACTGTCTGGTATAAAGCAATTGTTCCATAAGTGAGTTGTCAAGAGTTCAGGCTCTGGAGGCAGGGCACAGTTGTCCAAACTGGGAGCCCTGCCATTTACTGGCTGTGTGAACTTGGCAAGTGAAACCCTTTAAACTCAGTTTCCCCATATATTAAAATGAGAGTGAGATGATTGCACTTAGTTTGGGATGATGCAATAGATACACTACTCTAGAATATTCTTGAGTAGAAGTTGCAGGATGCACAGTGCTTATCAATGTAGGTAGTCCTCCATGTGTTAACTCACCCCACCTTCACACAGTCTATGCTCAGTATTGTTAACTCTTAGTAGCACCAGTTGTGGCTATCATCATTGTCATCGCCATCATCATCACCATCACGATCATCCTCATCATCATTGTCACCATCAACATCACCATCATCATTATTATCATCCTTATCATTGTCACCATCATCATCACCATCACGATCATCCTCATCATCGTCACCATCATCATCATCATCCTCATCATTGTCACCATCATCATCACCATTGCCATCATCCTCATCACAATCAACATGGTCATCATTGTCACCATCATCCTCATCTTCATCATTGTTATCATCATCATCATCTTTTTCATTGTCACCATCATCATCACCTCTACCACCATCATCACAGTCATCATCATCATCCATTATCATTATCTTCATTGTCCTCACACACTCACACTAGTTCCTATGTGGCACATTCCTGCCTAGTCATATCCACTCCTCACCTCCTTACAATACTTTAGTTATGACACTTTGTTAACATGCTCACACGCCCCTTAGAATCCAGCCTCTACTCTTCAGGCATGACAAGGACAGTTTGAAAGAAGCCTGATTACTCTGCAGCACAACTCATGAAATCATCCCTTTGAATCAGGAGAGCTGGTTGGGCTCGTTATGTCTAGTTCACTCTCCTCAAAATCACCCACAAAAAAAGTCTTATGAAATGTTCTGAAAATTTTAAAAAAGAGAATCTATCCTGTTATCAAAAATTTGAGAAACATCATATCATGTATCATTGCCTAGATACATAGTAATTCATTTTAGCATATTAAAGGACTGGAGAAATGCCAGAGTAAACTAATTAATATATTTAACTAATGTAAGTTTTCTTAATCTGTGCAATCAGCTAATCCCTAAATCTATGACTATGGAAAACTTCCCTGTGTTTGTGTGTATGTGTATATAGGTGTACTATGCAGTAGGAAGGGCTGTGTAAGTGCCTTCTCCTTTCCATGTATTCACATGTGTGTATATGCATATGTGTGGTGTGCTACATGCCTTCTCCTTTCTCTGTGTGTGTGTGTGTGTGTGTGTGTGTGTACTAAGCAACGAGAGGATGTAACAAATACCTTCTCCTGTATGAAATTTCTCCCACCTTAACCTTCTTCCTTTTGAGTTTTGAGCTCCTTTCCCTAATTATTGACTATTCTATCAACATTCTGTTCTGTCTCTTGCCATATTTTTCTTCTATACTATAAGAAAGAAAAAAGTACCAGAAGGGGAGGGGGTAGAAAACATTGTGTGCCCACTGGTTTTCATTTGCTCTGTTTCCACTCTGTGGGGCTGATCTAGTGCCAGTTCTGCTGCTGCATCAACACCAGGCCTAGCTGACCTGCCCCTGTGCCTCTTGTCCCTTTAAAATTTTATGAAATCTTCCCTTACTCAGAAAATGAGCACATGCACACACTCACACTCATCCTCACATATATGACCTTAGTCCCTTAGATGTCAGGTCCATGGACTCCAGGTTAGGATAGATGCTTCACAGGCACAGCAACCACCATCTTAACCCCTGAATCCTCAACACTAGCACAGGGTCTGGCAGAGAGTAGGTGTCAGTAAATGTTGAAAGAATAAATGAATTAATCAAGATGGCTCATCAGGGATCCATTTATTTTTAAGACCACATGGTATGTTCTTCAGAAGCATGTTCATCCCCAAAGGACAAACTTGTCCCAAGTCTCCTGGTACATTCAGGTATATTTTCTTTTGGCCCCTTTCAAAAGGTTATTATTCTCATGCATTCATCCTGCTTTTGTCTATAAAGTAAGTCTCCACCTTTTAGGGTCATTATGTACAGTTATACAGACTGTACACTGCTACTGTACAGAGTGTCTGGCCAAGGAAAGTGAGAGCTGAAACTCAAGCTTGCATATTGGGGCAGGACAGGGTCTGCCTTGAATAAGAAGCACCATTTTCTTGCAGTTATGCACTTGCCAGAGAGGATGATTTTTATAATTCACTCAAAGAAGCAGTGTGGATTAGTTATGAGCCTCCCACAGGATACATGACTGCCTGGGGGTACTTTTTTTTTCCAAAATCTAGGTCAAGAGTTGAAGAAGATGGACATAAGCCACCTTTTCATTATGACTTACTGTGTGGACCCCAATGGGAAATGTTCCAGAAAGAACATAAGTAGCAGGCATTTGATTGGACTACACTGAGTCTCATAAAATTCTTTCCTACACTGGCCTCAGAGTGGCTGAGATGTGGATGTGTGTTGAAGACAGAGAGGCTGAGAGGGATGAAGAAGAAACCAGGAGCAGGGCTTGAGGCTCCGGCCCTCACGTAGCCCCAGCAGAGTCTTGGGCATGAAGTTTTCTGGAAGGATAGAAGTTGCACCCAGTGAGCATCAGCAACCCTCTTCCTACCAGGAGCCCATGATGTCTGTTAGTTGTTTTCTTCCATGTCAAAGTGAAGAGTCCTCTGCCCTTCTGCCTGCTATCCTTTCTTCCATGGTATGGAGGTCTTTCCCCCAATTATGGATTCTCTCTGACCCTTGTCATAAAAAGACCCCAGTGGCAAACAGATAGAACCTGATTCACATGGCCCCTGGTCTCAGAGGAGTAATGTGTATCTGCAGAGATCTCTCATCAGGAGACATTGTTGACTGCGGGACTCACCCTTTGCCCTGGAAACGTCGGTCTCAGGTGGGACCCACCAGGAATGCTACCCTTGTTACGTGAACCAGTTAACATTTATGAAACCCTCACAATGCTCCAGGCATTGAGCCTGGGCACTTTACCTGCATTATTTCTTCATTTGTCACCACAGACCTCTGTTAAGTTACTTAACATCTCTGCATCATAAAAGAAAACAAAAACAAAAACAAAACACCCATGTTGTAAGAGTGCTACTATAATGAGAAATACTGCATAAAAATACTCAGCTGGGCGCCTGGAGTGTACTGAGCACCTGGTCAGTGAGCTGTTGGTTTTCTTTGTTGTGAAAGCTGCCTCTGTAAAGATGTAAACACATACAGACACAACAAACCTTTGGGCTTTATGCAGAAAACTGGTGAGAAATTGTTCAACATTGGAAGAGTTAGGTTGAAATGTTAGGAAGAGTTAAGATTTTTTAATATTCTTTCCTTGTGGCCAAATCCTACTTGCTGGGTTAACTTTTTGAAATTTAGAACAAACTCTCATCTAGTAAGTTAAAATGATCTCAGCCTGACTGTGTTTCCTGCTGTTAGTTCACTAGGAATGTTCTGGGCTGTATGTCAAATTCATTCTCATTGTGTGACTGCCAGAGGGGAAAAAATGCCCATTGTCTTGGCTATTGCTATTTTTATTTAAATTGCAGTCCAACTTTTAGAAAGTCTTGATGGTCATAAATGTGAAATGGTGGGTAAAGTACTCTTGAAAAAAAGATATATTGTTTTCATTAAAAGAAAATAATACATGTTCATAAGGGCACATTTCAGAGACAAAAACTATAAAAGATAAAACTATTCTCATACAGGCCTTTTTCTAAAACACAACTGCTTTAAAATTTTTGGTGAATTTTTAAAATCCAGCCACAAAGACAGACAGGTAGATAAACAACAAATAGACAAACAGATTGGATATACATGTGTATGTGAGTGAACATATATAGATACAGATATATACTAGATATATATACACATATATACCTAACTTGCTATATATAATTGGAGATATGCATATAGATCTGTTGTCAGCGTGATGTGTGTATACATGCACAGACACGAATATATATGATATCTGGAGGTAAATAGATATACTGATTATACTATTGTGAATCTGCTTTTTAAGCCTAATATTCTAGCAAAAACAATATTTTTGTATCTAAAAATGTTTTTTATGATTATTATTTTAATAACTATAATAATAAATGCAATAACAAATTATTTTTCATAGGTTGGCAAATCATAATTCAAATGACATTTTTCCTATGGTTGGAATTTGAAGTTGTTTCCCAGTCAATGTTTGTATAAAGATTGCAGGAATAACATCTTCTGCACAAATGTTTGTTAATTGTTTCCCTCGTTAGGACATATTTCTGGATCAAAGAGCATGGAGACTTTGGGGGATTTGAGATACATCATAATAAACATCATTTCATGGTTTATTTCATTGTTTTTAATTTTCTTTGATTTATATTCCCACCAGTATATTTATACTTTATTTCCCTGTATTCTCCCAAATGCCACTACCACAATGTTCAAATGAGAATGTTTTTATACTGAAAATAATAGTATACATTCAGTAGGGTTTGAAATGTACCAAAGAATAATTAAGCAACCAAGAAAGACATTGCCAAACTGTTACATGCAAGCAACTTTTAGGCATTAAGAACACTAAGGTATGTCATAGCCTTTACTCTTTCACTCAAGAAGATTACAGTCCTGAGAGAAGGATGAGAGAAGGATGCTGCATGGCTGCACCTCACAAAGAAAGGTGTTCATACTCCATAAAGGTGTTTATGACTACATAAACATCATAGTCTCTGCAAATGAGGAGGACCAGAGAATATGCCTCAAACGGGTTGGGACTCCAGTGGTGGTTTTCAAAGACTGAAGAATATGACAAGAAAAGCTGTCACCTGCAGAAAAGTTCATGGAGAGCAGTGTCCAGCAATCAGAGGGACAGGGGATAGATTTAGATGGTGGCAGGTGAAGATGAGTGGCGAGAGACCAGCGTGCCCAGTGGAGGTGTGGGACTCTGTCATGTGGGCCACACGGAACCTCCAGAGCAGTGTGAGATGGGCAGAGAGAACACCCGTGTGTTATGGGGACTTTGCAGCATGACCTTGTGAGTGGGCGAGGGGGAACCTCCAGCAGGACGATGTCAGGTGACCATGAAAGAACGGTGGCCACAGGAGGAGCTTTAGCTAAAAGAGCATCGTGGCCATAGGAACAAATCCCCAGCTCAAAATGTGGAGAGAAGAACCAATAGAAGTTGGTGGGTGAGTGCAACCTGGGCTGGGGAAAGGGAGGGCCAGGAGGTGCAAGTTTGAGCCACGCGGGGTCGGAACCCCACTGGATCTCAGCATGGGAAATGGGTCAGTGTTAGAATGAAGTCCACAAGCAGATGACCCGAATGTTCTTTCACTCTGCATAGATGCGAGTCTTCCTAATGTTTCCACACCACCTCAGCTAAAGGGTACCCCTAGAATCCCCAGAAACCCTGTCCTCCTACTTCCCTAATCTGACCATACATGCTCTCCAATGTGGGCTTGACAGGCCGCTCGGTGAGTCATGTCCAGCTCATTAAGAACAGCAGCCGCAATCCCAAAACTGGGACCTCAGTCAACTCATTGTGACCAGTTCTGTTGGCCAACTCTGTGAGCCAGAGAGACAGGTGATAGGAGTATCTCCAAGAAAAAGAGGAAAGTTTCTTCCAAGAGGAGCTGGTCAGCAGTGCACCAGAAGATGCTGGGGCAGCAAGAGCTGCAGCTCCAGGAAACAGAAATTCCAAATCCACCCCAGGAAGAGGAGAATGGCCAGGCCCTGGTAGGGAATAGCCCAAGGTGATGTTCCCCAGCTTGAACCCAAATAAACACCAACATTCACAATAAGTAAAGAATGTGGACAAAAAAGAGGCCAAGCATGATAACTGAAATGACTGTTTCACTTGCTACTTCCCTGAGCAATTCTTGTATTTCTGCTGTAGGCTCTTAATTATATCCCAATAGCCTAAAACTAGCTTGCACATTCACTAACAGGATCCACAAAAAGCAGGATGGCTGTGGTGAGCAACTGTATTTAGAGATTATCCAATTTGCGACACTGTTGCCTCTCGGAGGAGAAGCACTTTTGCTTCTCAGATAGCTCCTTGGAGACAGGTGTGGGGTGCTGGCGTGTGTGACACATGTCTTGCTGCTTGTATGCACCTGGCCCCCAGTGCCCTGTGTCAGTGCCGCCCGGGAGCTGGTCTTTTCTTTTCACTTGATCCCAGGAGGGCTGTGCTTGTTCACTAATACGTCCATGTATCTCCTAGGACAGGATGAGCAAACACATGGCAGGGCAGTCTTGAGTCCCTTTCTCTGCCACCACACAGAGAGGTGGGAGGGTCTTGTGCCCTGGATGTTTGGTAGACTTTGCACGAGAGAGGAGATGGAGGTCTGGGAGGGTCAAGGACCAGCCTTTAGCTATGCAGAGAAGGAGTTGAAGGAGTAGACTCTCTTATGAGTAGTGGTGGGAAAATTGAGAATATTCTAGAGTTAGAAAATTTACAGTGACCAGAAATAAGACCAAGATCTGTCCAGTGGGCACCAACCACTGTGCATCTACCCGGAATGCTCATAGAAGAGGACCTGGGGTGACACAATAAAAATAATAATGTAGAAACTTCAGACAGAAACGCAAAGTGGATACACCCATTCTTCTCAGACTTTATGTACATACACACACACACATAGATACATACATACACATGTGAATACATACACACGTGTAAACATGCACACAAACATACATGCATGCACACACATGCACACATACATGCATGCACACACATGCACAAACATAAACAAATACATACTCACATAGATATACACAAACTTACATGCAGGCATACACACAGTGCACACTAAACACAAGCCTGCATGCAAACACATATACATACACACACAAACATACATACAAAACACTGACATACCAACACATGCGTGCATATATACACACACACAAATATGTATATATGGCTTATTCTATAGATTGCGTTCAGTTCCTTTCAACTAATGCCTTTTGCTGTCTGAAAAAATTTAAGGTTAAAAGCATAAAAATAATAACAAACACATACAGATGTTACTGAGGAAAGGGACCCAAGTCTGGGTCTCCAAATGACCAGAAGGAAAAGGCAGTCTGGGTTTCCAAGTAGGAAGCCCAGGTGAGCACCTGCTCTCCTTCCTGTTCTCCTACCAGAGTCAAGATAACTGATGCTCCTTAGAAATAAGCCAGGGAACAATCACGGTAACATGTCTGTACTTTCAAGTATTTCAGCACCATCTCTCTTGAACTCCAGTGCAGAATAGTAGCAGCTGGGGGCACCTGCCACAGAGGCTGTGACCCACGGCCCTGGGTGTGTCTCAGGTCTGCCACTCTGAGTCGTGTGCCATTTGGCCACCTTCTGAGCCATGTTCCTGCATAGCAAACCTTCATCTGTCAATGGGGACAGTGTCGCTTATTTCACTTGGCTGTTTGAAAACCCAAGACAGTTGGTAGAATTTCCCTGTAAAATGTAAAAATTTTGAGCAATCATTCAATTATGCATATTTGATGAGTTGACATGTTTTTGGCATTTATGTATCAGGCACCATATCAGTTATTTTTATAAATAATCACAAAAAGCAAGCCTTTGGAGTAAAATATCACCATACAAAAAGACATATCTGAAACAAAACACAGGACAGGATGGAGGCTGCTTTTATTATCAAACCCCCATTTCCCTGAGAAAATAAGAGGCAGCCAGCCTGCATTTGGGGAAGGGTGCCACATGGATAATTAGTGACAAGGCGCATGTCCCAAAGCCTGGGCCCTTTGACATGGGGGCCAGTGCTCCCTTGACCAGACTCCCCAGCTTTCTGCTTCCCAGAAACCCCCGGGGAGGCAGAGGCAGATACTGAAGTTCGCAGAGGAATAAACATGGCAAGTTTCCCAGGCTCGTGGACTCCTTGCCAGGCCCTGGCAGCAGACAGATGTGCAGGGGGGTTCCTGGCTCTGAGAAGTTCATCATGAGGGGCAAGGGAAAGAAGCATTTTAGCTCTGGCTATTTCCCTCCGAATCCTATGGAAATAAACCAAATCATATACTTCAAGGAGGTCATCCTGTCATCTAAGTCATGCGATGAGGCAGCATCTATTACAACTTCCATTTATCCAGCTGCACGAGGATACAGGGGCCTGAGACACAAACACACAAAATCCTTGCTGCTTGTGAAGAGCAGGGCAATAGGATCCAGTCAGGTGCGACTCCTGGAGTTGTGCTCTCCTGACCCCACTCCTGAGTTTGCATCCTAAGTTTCACCTCTCACTTGCCACCTGGGGGTTATTGGAGCCTCCCAAGCCTGTTTCCTCACGTTCAAAGGAAGGATGACAATCACAGAATCTTTGGTACCCTTGAGGGATAAACGAGATGACACAGAATGTGCTTGGACCCCAGCATCATCAGTGTGTGACCTACCATCCTTATGGTGCCATGTTGCCTGTCTAGGAAAGATGCTGAGTTGGCTTGGAGACACTGGATGTCACTGCAATCCTAAATACAAGGACCAGTGCGAGATGGAATTCAGGAGTCAAAGAGACCACAGTTCAGACTAAGGGAGACACGGAAACAGAGAGGATTTTACATGCATTTGAGAAGGCAAGAGCCTCAAACACAATGGTACGTGAATTTACTATATGCTGGGATTAAAGTTGAAATTAATGTTTCTGAGGCAGAGAGAAGAAAAATGCTCCCAACCCTTGGCCCACCTTCAATGGTATTTAGTCACTGAATTAAGTTTTATAACAGAAAAGAGTTGTCGAAATGTTTATAATCAGAAGGAAAACTCTGCACCAAAACAAAAGGTATGCTGCTACCTAGCAAACTTTCAGCCAGTTTGGGGCAGGAAAGAAGGATGTAGCAGTTGAGTGGTTAGGGACCCCCAAATGTTTTGCCGATGAAAAAGGTTCCAGCCATTGCAGGAGCAGGCGAGCTTTTCAGCTGCTTCCCCAGTGCTGATTTCAGGGTCTGTGTCCAACAAATTCTTGCCCATTTGGATGACAAAGAGGAGGGCTGGTCAGAGGGAAGGACTACATTTTTGGGGAAGATTGAGCATAATAATGAGATGAACACTCAAGTCCCTCTCGAAATCAGGAAAATCAGGATCAAATCCACTTTATAATGTATATTCAGGCAGGTAAGATATTAGGTCCAAGTAGAAGAAAAAGTGTGGAGGAAAAAAGCAAACGAGCTCTGATCATAGGTTGGACAGACCAGGGTCTCGAGCCTGGGGAAGTCTGCCGCCAGCATGGTCAGGAACACACAGAGCCTCCCTGCACCTTACAGCTTGCAAAAGGGGAAGGGCGCATCTGTGTTTTTACTACTGTACACTCAAATGCTCATAATGTTTAAATGGTAATAAATTAAATGTTTAAGATTTAATTCTTTCAATGACTCTGGAAGGGAGATAGTTCCCCTGACATGAAATCACCAGGGAGGAACAGGGGCTTAACAAGGCTGTGTGGATTTCTAGCCCTCACAGGCACCAGTCCCTTTCAGGGAAAGAAGCTTAGCATCCAGGATCCTCGAGTAACACACAGTATTGTTGACAAAAATAATCAGTATACAGTCTATAATAGGAGTAGAAAAGAGTTTTATTTGAGCCAAACTGAGGACAATAGCTTGGGAGACAGCCTCCCAGATAACTCTGAGGAACTGCTCCGGAGAAGCACGGTTTTCAGCACCACAGCTTTATGTCTTGTCAGAACAAAATACATCAAATAAGTATGGTTTTCAGCACAGTTTTATGTCTTGTCAGAGCAAAAACCATCAAATAAGTCAAGGGTAAATTCTTTCAAGGTTTCAAAAATAAGAGATCATCACATACACAGCAAGTCAGTTTGGCCTTGGCACCTGGGAAGGGAGTCTTAACATGGAAGCAGGACCAGCACTGGCATCCAGGAAGGGAGGCATTCAATCTTTATTTTTAACATGGGCATTCTTTACTTCTGGTCAATATGCCCTCTTCTTTAATAATTAAAGCAGATATACAATGTATGTTTGATAGGCCACAAACAGGCTGTTCTAGTTTGCATAAAGTTCAAGTTAACTCACATGTAAGCCAGAATGACTGCCTCATTCCTCAATATGTAAACATTTCTTTTATCAATATGAACTTAGCTTAAGAGACTAGGTGATTAATGGTTAGAAACTGTAGGCAGAAGAATTGGCAGTCACGCTAAAGGGACTGGACCTTGAGAGGCTGGAGCCCAAGCTTGGGTCCAAGCATGGGGCAGGAGGAGCCTGCCAGCTTCCTTGTTCTCTGTGCTTGCAGCCAGAACGTGTCCTGGGGAAACACTCAGTGTCCTTTACAAAAAATATGCAAAGGGGCTCATCTCCCATGAAGGCAATTTGCAAAGGAAATAAGGGTTTCAAAATATACTCAGAGACCAAGTAAGGTTATCCCTGCTGTGCCCCTAAAGGATTACTTAAAGTTTCCCATGGCTCAGCCTGTGTGCATCCAGAAAGCTGTAGCATCTTGGCTCAGCTCAGAGTGAACTGATAGGAACTCCTGGTCGAAAGATTAACAAGATACTTACACTCATTTTCACAGGGGAACCTCAAGAAGGATGGTTAGCAAATGATTTGTTTGGCTTTTTGGACTGAACCCCAGAAAAGCACATAAAAATGCTAATTAGAGGCTAAGAGAACATGAGGAGTTCTTGAGAAATCATCGAGGTGGTCACCCTACTTTGGCAAACCCTCAGAGGCAGTAGATAACCTTTCCTTTATAAAAAGAGATCCAGAGAAATGAGTTGACAGGACTTGGTGCCCTGTTACCATGAGTTCTGTTAAAGGAAAACCTTCCTTACAGGTCCACAAAGCTCCACCTTGAGCCTCTGTCATTGTGTGCTATTCAAGGGGCTCAAATGGCTGGTTTCATTCTGTGTGTAGGAAACTTCCATATGCTCAATTTCATCAATACCTGGCTTTTTCCAGGCTAACCCAGCCCATATTTTCAATGATACCCTTCTCTTTATATAACCCTTGTAACAACTTCTGTCTCTTTTGCAGATTGAAAACCACAGCAGGATGAATGATAAGAGATCCAGGATAAAGTTGTGCTAGGAAACAAGAAACAGCAAAGACTGAACAATGAGAATAGTTAGCCAGTTGCTGGATTATGCAATGCAAGAGCCCGACCTGCCCTAAGGAGCCCACGTGGAGGTAAGCTCACCACTGCAATGTGACTACAGGAAGAAAGATGGGGCTGTCCTTATCACAGGGAATGTGCGGTCTCTCAGAGGCTGAAGGGCCTCTCCAGTGTCAACACTTGCTGGAGCAGTAGGAGCCTGGACACCTGGCAACTATGTATTTGTGGAAATCTGCTCAACCTCCCATTTGCTCCTGGTCACCATCCCTACCCTGCTCCTGTCCCTGATACTCAGCACCTTCTTTTTTGGTCCTCCCATTGGCTTCATTCTTCGTTCCCTGACTCTCAGCATAATGCTTTACTCATGCCTGACTCTCAACCTCATTTCTACCTACGGGCTCATGAGTATTTATTACATGTTTTCTCAGACACCTCATAGCACTAACTGTGGGTTTTGGCTATTAAGAATAGAGCTGCTGGTGAATTGGCGAATGAATCAAGGAAACTGCAAGGAATTCAGTATAGCTGGGGTAGGAAGCTGGAGAGATTGAAATCCCTTTGCATGTTGGTTGAGCTTACTGACCAGACGGGGACACAGAGTTAGCTCTGCAGATGGGCAGAGGCACTGGATGATATGTCTTCTCTGATGCCACTGCAAGCAGTAATGTGGTCCCCCAAGATCTGAATGATATGTGGCTCCTATGGGCTGGCAACACTTGAACTAAAAAGACAAGTTATCCACTGGGAACTATGAATCTGCAGCCTGTGAAAAGGAGACCCCAAACACAGTAAGTTAAGCAAAATGAGAAGACAAAGAAACACACAGCAGATGAAGGAGCAAGGTAAAAACCCACCAGACCTAACAAATGAAGAGGAGATAGGCAGTCCACCTGAAAAAGAATTCAGAATAATGAGAGTAAAGATGATCGAAAATTGTAGAAATAGAATGGAGAAAATAGAAGAAACCCTTGACAAGGACTTAGAAGAACTAAAGAACAAACAAACAATGATGAACAACACAAAAAATGAAATTAAAAATTCTCTAGGGCTTCCCTGGTGGTGCAGTGTTTGAGAGTCCACCTGCCGATGCAGGGGACACGGGTCCGTGCCCCGGTCAGGGAAGATCCCACATGCTGTGGAGTGGCTGGGCCCATGAGCCATGGCCACTGAGCCTGCACGTCCGGAGCCTGTGCTCCACAACGGGAGAGCCCACACAGTGAGAGGCCCATGTACTGAAAAAAAAAAAAATTCTCTAAAAGGGATCAATAGCAGAATAACTGAGGCAGAAGAACGGATAAGTGACCTGGAAGATAAAATAGTGGAAATAAATACTGTAGAGCAGAATAAAGAAAAAAGAATGAAAAAAATTGAGGACTGTCTCAGAGACCTCTGGGACAACATTAAACACACCAACATTCGAATTATAGGGGTCCCAGAAGAAGAAGAGAAAAAGAAAGAGACTGAGAAAATATTTGAGGAGATTATAGATGAAAACTTCCCTACTATGGGAAAGGAAATAGTTAATCAAATCTAGAAAGTGCAGAGAGTCCCATACAGGATAAATCTAAGGAGAAACACACCAAGACACATATTAATCAAACTATCAAAATTTAACTACAAAGAAAAAATATTAAAAGCAACAAGGGAAAAACAACAAATAACATACAAGGGAATCTCCATAAGGTTAAAAGCTGATCTTTCAGCAGAAACTCTGCAAGCCAGAAGGGAGTGGCAGGAAATATTTAAAGTGATGAAAGGGAAAAACCTACAACCAGGATTACTCTAACCAGCAAGGATCTCATTCAGATTTCATGGAGAAATTAAATCCTTTACAGACAAGCAAAAGCTAAGAGAATTCAGCACCACCAAACCAGCTTTACAACAAAGGCTAAAGGAACTTCTCTAGGCAGGAAACACAAGAGAAGGAAAAGACCTACAATAACAAACCCAAAACAATTAAGAAAATGGTCATAGGAACATACATATCGATAATTACCTTAATTGTAAATGGATTAAATGCTCCAACCAAAAGACATAGACTGGCTGAATGGATACAAAAACAAGACCTGTAATATGCTGTCTACAAGAGACCCACTTCAGACCTAGGGCCACATGCAGACTGAAAGTGAGGGGATGGAAAAAGATATTCCATGCAAATGGAAATCAAAAGAAAGCTGGAGTAGCAATTCTCATATCAGGCAAAATAGACTTTAAAACAAAGACTATTACAAGAGACAAAGAAGGACACTATATAATGATCAAGGGATCAATCCAAGAGGATAAAACAATTGTAAGTATTTATGCACACAACATAGAAGCACCTCAATACATAAGGCAAATACTAACAGCCATAAAAGGGGAAATCGAGAGTAACACAATCATAGTAGGTGACTTTAACATGCCACTTTCACCAATGGACAGATCATCCAAAATAAAAATAAATAAGAAAACATAAGCTTGAAATTATACATTGAACAAGATGGCCTTAAGTGATATTTATAGGACATTCCATCCAAAAACAACAGAATATACTTTCTTCTCAAGTGTTCATGGAACATTCTCCAGGATAGATTATACCTTGGGTCACAAATCAAGCCTTGGTAAATTTAAGAAAATTGAAAACGTATCAAGTATCTTTTCTAACCACAACTCTATGAGACTAGATATCAGTTACAGGAAAAATCTGTAAAAAATACAAACATATGGAGGCTAAACAATACACTATTAATAACCAAGAGATCACTGAAGGAATCAAAGAGGAAATAAAAAAGAAAACTAGAAACAAATGACAATGAAAACACGATGACCCAAAACCTATGGGGTGCAGCAAAAGTTTGCAGCACATGGAAACTTAAAACACAACAGCATTTACATTTACTTCAAAAAATGAAATATTAAGCTATATACTAGACAAAATATGTACATGATTTGTATGGTGAAAATTACAAAATGCTGATGAAAGAAATCAAGGAAGACCTAAATAAATGGAGAGACATACCATGTTCATTGACCAAAAGATTCAACATAGTAAAGATGTCATCAATTTCCCCCAAACTGACCTATAGGTAGAATGCAATTCCTACCAATATTCCATCAAGATTTCTTGTAGATAGAGACAAGATTATTTTAAAATTTATATTGAAAGACATAGGTCCTAGAATAGCTAAACCATTCTAGACAAATCACAATAAAGAGGTCAGACTCACTTTACCCAATGCTTAGTCTCGCTATATAGCTATAACAGTCAAGGCAGTTTGGTATTGTTGGAGGGACAGACAACTGGTCCAGAATGCAGGATTCCAAAATAGATGAACACAAATATAATCAACTGATTTCTGACAAAGGTGCAAAACCAATTCAATGAAAGAAAGATAGATTTTTCCACAAACTGTTTTGGTATAATTGAACATCTATAGGCAAAAAGAATGAACCTCAGTGTAAAGTTTAGACCTATACAAACAAAACAAAACAAAAACTCAAAATGGATCATGGGGTTAACTGCAAACCTTAATATATAATACTTCTATAAAAATAGAAAAAAGTCTTCAGGATTCAGGGGTAGGCAGAGTTCTTAGACACAAAAAGCATGATCCATAAAAGTGAAAATTGATGTAATCAAAACTAAACCTTTTGCTCCATAGAAACTCTAATGAAAAGGATGAAGAGGTAAACTAAAGATGGAAGAAAACATTTGCAGATCACATACTCAATGAAGAATTGGTGTCTGGAATTTGTAAAGAACTCTCGAAACTCAAGTGTAAAAATTAAACAGTTCAATTAGAAAACGAGCAAAAGACATGAAGAAACATTTCACTGAAGAGAACATGCAGATGGCAAATGAAAAGTGCTCAACATTATTAGCTGTAAAGGAAATGAAAATTAAAACCACAAGAGGATATCAGTACACACCTATCAGAATCGTTGAAATAAAAAAATAGTGATAACACCATATGCTGGTGAGGAGAATAGATCACTCCTCTATTGCTGGTAGTAATGTATAATGGTATAACCACCCTGGAAAACAGTTTGGCACTTACTTATAAAACAAAACATGCAATTACCAAATGACCCAGTGACTGCACCTTTGGGCATTTATCCCAGGGTAGTAAAAACTTACATTCACACAAAAACCTCTAAATAAATGCTTATAGCAGCTCTATTCTTTTTTTTTTTTTTTTTACCATCTTTATTGGAGTATAATTGCTTTACAATGTTGTGTTAGTTTCTGCTGTATAACAAAGTGAATCAGTTATATGTATACAAATAACCCCATATCACCTTCCTCTTGAGTATCCCTCCGACCCTCGCTATCCCACCCCTCTAGGTGGTCACAGAGCACAGAGCTGATCTCCTCGTATGATGCAGCTGCTTCCCATTAGCTAACTATTTTACCTGTGGTAGTATATATATGTCAATGCTACTCTCTCACTTCGTCCCAGCTTCCCCTTCCCCCTCCCCGTGTCCTCAAGTCCAGTCTCTATGTCTGCGTCTTTATTCCTGTCCTGTCCCTAGGTTCACCAGAACCATTTCTTCTTTTTTTTTAGAGTCCATATATATGTGTTAGCATATGGTATTTTACTCCTTCTGACTTACTTCACTCTGTATGACAGACTCTAGGTCCATCCACCTCACTGCAAATAACTCAATTTCGTTTCTTTTTATGGCTGAGTATAATCCATTCCATTGTATATATGTGCCACATCTTCTTTATCCATTCATCTGTTGATGGACATTTAGGTGCCTTCGATGTCCTGGTTATTGTAAGTAGTGCTGCATTGAACATTGTGGTACATGACTCTTTTTGAATTATGGTTTTCTCAGGGTATATACCCAGTAGTGGGATGGCTGTGTCATATGGTAGTTGTATTTTTAGTTTTGTAAGGAACCTCCATACTGTTCTCCATAGTGGCTGTATCAATTTACATTCCCACCAACAGTGCAAGAGGGTTCCCTTTTCTCCACACCCTCTCC